AAAAACAGCGGAGAAATAGTTTGATGAATAATTATATCTTTATAATGTAATAATATTTTTTCTTGTTAATTAGGACAGTACTTTCACGTGATTATATGCTTTATATTTATGTTCTTACTAAACAATGTTTATCGGCTATAAAATATATAAAGCAAATGAGAACAATGCTAAACAATGATTAAATGTCAAAGGTTAATATCATCTTAATGCAAAGTCTTTGATAAGTACAATAATAATTTCTATCGTATGAACTTTGATATTTGTTTTACGACTGAATCATTACTGGTGTTTAAAGTAATACTTCTGTCATCAAAAACTTTAATATTCTAAAATATGTTGCCCAGTGTATCAAGGCTGTTTTAAACATACAAAGAGATGCTTACAATGTATTAAATAAATAATTGCATGAGATGAAATTGTATAATTTAACGAAATGTCTTATTTTAAGTTGTTTGTTTCTACTATGAATAATAAATTGAATATACATGTATATATAAATCAGGAGAATTGACAAATTGCTGTACAAAATGTGTTGAGACTTTACATTTATGCTTTTGTAACATTAGGATTTGAAATAGTGTTAGTCGTATAAAATTGTTACATAAGAGCAATAAAAAATCATCAACTTGAAAGATTTATTTGAAAAAGGAGCTCATCTAAAATCTGAAACAAATAAAACTTCTAAATTGTTAGTACATTTTTCATGTTCAGATAGATATTACGACTTTTTTATATTCAAAACCGTCATGAAATTTGTGATTTGATGATAGTATTTTAATCATCTCATAGATACACATAATTATATTTGTAATTTCATGAGCGAATATGTATTTCAAAACCAACTGTACAATATATCTTGCGAATTTCAGGATTTTTTTGACTTACGCGAAATCAATGCAAGGTTGTCTTTTAGGTGCGTAGACCGAAAACCAAGTATCATTTGTTATAATTTACTACAGACATAATCTGCAAAACAGTCATCAAACTGTCTATAGTAACACTTTATTGGTAATTATTTACTGGTTTCCCTGACAATGTAATGCTTAAAGGAATTACAGCGATGTATTGACTGCGTGTAGATTTCAGTTCCATTCTTAATGTATATGTATCATCAACTTACGACAACAATTACTGTTTCTTAGACTAATTCAATGAAATTAGTTCGTAACATTTGTGGTTTACTTTAAACTTATTTTAATCAATAGTGTTTTAAATTTTTCCCTATGAAATACAACTGAATAAACAAATTCTTGAAGTTTTACATCATCATTTTAACTTTTCATATAACAGTCAATAACAATACTGTTCACACAGCCTGGGATTCAGGCGTTGATATTTTTTGCATATTCATAACATACGCTCTATTTCATACTCAGTCGTCATAGATAACACAACATCTCTGGTTTTTATAGTATGAACGCCTGGGGAAACCTGCGGAGTTTCCTCATGTAATTATCGACTAATGATAATTCTATTAATAGACCGATTAGCAAATGACCAACAAATTACATGACAAAATCGAAATCGAGGCGAAGATGATGAATGTTGAAAATTTGACGCCATTTACTATTACAGATTGCGTCCAGCACAATTCTCTGATGCTCACAAACTTTATCCACTTTAACTTATTAAAACTGTTGATTAAAGTCACTCATCATGCAATAAATTTTGTCAACGAGTGTTAGTTGGTGTTTTGAAATCGAGGCTCCGTTACTGTTCTTTGAGCTTCGGCTCACTTTCTGGAAATTCCGTTTCTATTTTTAGAAACTAGTTTGCCGTTGCATGAGTTATCGTTCGTTAAATTACACCCGTAATTATCGGGGTGAATACTAGGTGGCGCTTCAAACGTTTTATTAAAAAAAGTAATGACACTTTTGTTTAAAGACATACCGTGTCTCAAGTGTTAAACATTTTTACAGGAAGCCAATTCGTTCAACTTGAATACCTCTGTCGGACCAAGTGGGAGGGAGACTTTATGATGGTATGGACATTTTTTTTAAATCTACCGGGACTGAATTGTGTTGATTTTTGTCTTCTGTCTTGCTTACTCGGCCCCATGTAGGTCATATTGTGTCTTCTTTCTTTTGGCATTCCTCTGTGTCAGATCTTTTTCTTGTTTTATTGTTTCATATTTTTCTGTCGTCATGGGTAAGTATCCCCTTATTCCTAATTTCTTCGGTTCCTTCTCTTACAATCTTGTCCTTGTGCGTGCCTTTTAATTCGTTGCCTTCCTTATATTTTCTTTACTGAATTGTTTATTATTTATAACATTGTCCCATTCGTGCTTGGCCCTTCTCCCTGGGCTCCTTGCCGGTAGATTTTGTTTGGTGATGCATCCATTGACTGTGGCCCTTCTTTGTTGATCTTTGTATAACAAAACAAGAATTCGTACTTTTACTGATATTATTGGTGTCTCTAATTACATATTGTCAAAAACAAACAGCAATAGCAAATTTCCACTGCTTTTTATGTGAACTTGAAAAAACTTTTGCAGTCAAGTAAATCATATGATAACAAAGATCAACAAGGAAAGGAGGCATACTATGAAAGAAGCCCATAACAAATCAGCAACACGGATTCCCGCATAGTCGAACATTCTGTAAATCCTTTTTACAATAATTTGTTAGATTGTCGATCTAAATATATAATGAACTTTGATAGACGTTTCTTTTTAATGTTTGATATTAAAATAAGTAAACGAAAATCATCTGCAGAGGAAATGAGCAATTGATACATTTGTATAGACAAACTAAACGGGAGAGATATTTAAGATGTTTTAAAAATTAAGTACTTTTATATTAAGCAGTTCAAATCGTGACTATATTTTTTAAACGAAGTTTCTGAATGGACTTTCTTATATCGCGGATTAATAGCAATATATGTGGTAATTACAAACCGGATCAACAAATGACAGCCCCTTAACCCGCCCCTTTATCTTTTGTTGCAATTTCATTCTACGCTAAAATATATGCCTTAAATATCATAAATATTTCTTTTTCATATACTAAAAAGGAATTAATAAGGTAGAAATACTTGTTTCTGATAAATCATTGTTTCTGACCTACTGTGTCTATGTTCATGCTTTGCTTACGCTGAACAACGGTACAATTGTACTGCTAAGGTCTGGATTTTACTCGAATATCATAGATCTCTAGAAATTGTTATCTTACATTGTAATAATTCTGTTCTTCATTAGCAAGCAGTCATATTATACATTTTACAGCTCATAAACAACTTTGTTTCTGGGAAAATATTCGTTCTTTGTGTTTATTAGAGATTCCCAAAAACAATTTCACTTTCTTTAAAGTTTATGAGTTTAAAAAATTAAATTGAAAAAATAAATAATTACCCAAAAATTTAAAACGCGACTAAAATTAAACTTTTATAAAACTCAAAAAGAGAAAAAAAACTTCGGTTCAGTTGTACCTGAAATTTATATTAAGCAGTTATTTTCCCCTTTTTATAAAAATTTCGGGTATCTATACAAAAAAAAAACCCTTTGTTTTTTCCTGTTCCTTTTGATCAAATTTTGTTTTAAAATCTTTAGCCATTCATATTACCAATGCGCCCGGGGAGACCTAAATCAGGGGGCAAAATCCATTGGGGCCTGATCATTTTACTGTACACATTTCAGTCAGAAAAATATTTTGAAAATTTCCCTAAATATAAAAAATGGCTTTGTTCAGATTTAAGTCAAGTCCATTTAAGATGCTCAGCGGAGTAAATGATAAGTCTCTTCCATGAAGCAAATATTTTGTGAATGCCTTTAGATAAAGCTTCAAAACCTTAATTCCAAAATAAGAGGGCACGCATCAAGAAAAAATTCTCCTTTTTGTATTGTGGCTTATAAATATTTGGAAAAAAAGTGATCCCTCGGAAGCATTAAAAACAGCAAAATTACATGAAAATTGTTGACTTGGTTTGATTGAGACTGTACATGAGATTGTTCTATTAAAAAGCCTTGACAAATGTATATGCAACTAAAATGAAATGATGCGTACAACCACTTGCTTAATATCTAAAAATATTTGACACAGAAATGTATTTTGATTGCATTGCAATATGTTGTTCTGGTGAACTACTTATAATACGGTAATTTTAAAAAAATTTTTTTCCAAAAATTGTTAAAAGGGGGAAAGGGTCCCCTTAAGGGAATACAGGCCAACATCAAACAAAAATTTTAAAAGGGTTTATTTTAATTTTATGTATCCATCAAAAATATTAGGGAATAAAAGGGGAAAAAAAAATTGTATATCTTATTAAATTAAATGAAAAAACTTTTAAAAAAGAAAAATGTAAGGTTTTTTAAACGTTGATTTGTAATAGGAAAGGGTTTTCCCAAGTTAGCATTCTTTAAAAAAATTTTTTTTTCCCCCTCGCATTTTTAGTTTTCCCAAAATACTTTCCCAATCAAATAAGTTAAATTTTTCCCAATTATGTTACCCCCCAATTCAATACAAAAGAAAAACTTTTTTTTAAAAAAAACAAGTGAATTGTATAACTTCATACACTTCATAACTCAATATACTTAAAGGTGACACACTGTTTCTTTATTCAATATCATTTTCGAAAGTTGGTACCAATACAGTTAGCAAAATACAAGCATATATAATATTTTCGATCGCAATTGAGAATAACACATTATGGAAACACTTGAGCAAATTTATTCTCATGTACACTATATTCTTGGCGTCACTTCCCAATTTAAAGTTTTAACAGATTTTAACATATTCATTGGTCAATCTACATGTTAACTAGTCTCCCTGGATAACTTACCCATAATTACACATTTCTCAGCATGTGGCCGACTATTATTCATGCAACATTATATACTTTTAGAAAAACAAACGAATTATTTCAAGTATGTTAACTTGTATTTCCTGCAATATTTAAATTATGTTTTATTCTTCGAGATATATGATTATAATTGATCTTAATTAACACCTACTGCATGATAGTCAACTTTATGAACAATGACAAATAAACAATAACTACAGAACAAAGGTATATTATATTTTATTTTCAATAAAAGTTAATCGTGTGTTTGAATTGCGTACTGTTTCGTGTAAAGAAATGTCTTGCAGTGCATAAGAAAGAAATCTGACTCATAAAATATTACTTATAGTGTGATGTGTAAGTAAAATCTATGCAATATCAAGAAATTGATAAATCATAAAGTTTCATAATGTATAAACAATCATCCTACTTTTATTCTATTGAATATAAAAAATTCAAGTAAATAACAATTTGCCTAGTTTGATATCAATTATTTAAATAAAACAGATAAAAACGTTGTCCATCAGTCTTGATGGACGAAAATCCTCTTCTTGATGTTTAAAAATTGTCGTTCTTTGTCGTGAAGTAGTGTAACATTAGATTATATAAACCATAACAGACGATGTTGCAATTTAAGGCAATTTCTTAAACAATTCAGACCCTTAAAGATTCGCTATAATGCAAATAAAGCAGGCTATAATAAGAATATAAAATAACACAAAAGTCAGCAACAAAACTGCCTTTCATAACAAATGACTTACAAATACATCTTATAGTAATTTGCTTACTTTGTTTGCACACATTATGCATTAAATAAACTTGAACAATGCTTATTTAGAAATCACTTTTAAAAATGTATGAACTTGAAGCATTTTTATTGTCACATAAAACATTAAAAAAAATAATTAAACATGTTGTTGTTTTTTTAAAATTACTTCTATTTACTTACATCTTTAATGAATAAGCAGACTTATGCTAGTAAAGTATATGCATTGTTCTTTATATCATAATTTTAATACTTGCATTTGGTTTTTTGGTTTTCGAAAATCACAAAAATAAAAGTTTTCAAAACAAATTTTGGTTTTGCAATGATTTCAAGTTAGTTCAAGATTTATTGAAAAAAATGTTTTATAAACGATTTTTGGCGAACTATAGATTAAATTGGAAATGAGAGCTTTTATTGAATTAAATGAATAATTATGATTAATTGTGAAGATCAACTGATTTATTGAACTAGGTCATATCTTAAAATATGAAACAGAGTTATTGAATATTTTGTAGAGTTTTCAAATTTCAATTCATTTACACAAGTTTATTGGGTTAATTCAAATCAATAAACTATGTTGAATTGTTGAGTAACGGCATGTTAAAATTACATATATTAAGAATTGCCAAAACAAAAGTGGTACGTTGATTTGCAAGAGATAACTTAAATATTATTTACAAGTATTATCTGCATCATTTCTATGCACATTGTCCAACTAAAAAATGCGTATTCAAATTATAAACAAACCATAAAGCTAGTAAAAAGTAAAGGAGGAATGAACTTAAATAGACTCAATGAAGAAACTAATTCGGCCGAAAGCTGTTATGACATATTGACAATATTTTCCTCCTTGAATATCATATTAAAGTGCATAAATTGCATACTCACAATACAAACATTATTTGTATTTTGTAGCGTGTTAAATTTAAAAAACAAAAAGTGATATAGATTAAAAAAAAATAACTTGGCTTTCCTGACAGCATTAAAATAAATAGTCATTACATTTATTTTTATCGCCATACAAATGCTACAGTTGTTATTCAAAACAACTAAAATATATATTCAACAAAACACGGCTTTTGCTATCTTTTATAGAAATAACTTAAAGTTCACCAGTAAATATTATCTTAAAACATTAAAAATAATAGCGAATTTCAAGGAAATCAACATTTCGAGATAAACAGTGCAATTAGATAAAAAGTATCCAATAAAAAACACTGAGCAATGATTTCACAGTTTATATATACACGATGAACAAAATGCTCAACTTTAACATCTCCTTGCCTGAAAGCTGTTTACATACATGTTTACATACATTCGTGAAAGCCGAAATGGACCCAGTCGTTTAGTGTGCCAAGCAAAGGTCAAAATTCAAATTTAATTCCTCCTCATTGCAAAGAAAACAACACAGACACGTTTCTAGCAGTTTCGTTTTGTTTTTGTTCAAAAGTAATGTTTTGTTTGATGTTTGAGTGTGTTCTTCTCACGTTGTTACATGTGAGCCATCGTAAATTGTTAAAGCTTGTATAATTGTTGGGTCTTTTTTTGACCCTTCAAGGAATTCATCAAATGTTAACTTATCGTCATGATTCTGAAAGATAAAACAAAAATATGTTGTCAGGATTTTGTTCATGCTTTCCTGTTACACATTTTTATATGAAAATGTACTACAATACTTTTTTAATGCTTATTTATAACGTTTAACCTGAATAAGTATTTCACTACTTGTACAAAATTATATAGACTGCTACTATACTATGGAAGAATTAAGTGTTTCTTTTATTTGATCTGACCTTATCCATAACGTCAAATATTCGGTTCACTCTCTTATCTGGTGTGTTTTCTTCCTCCGGAAGTTTCACTGCATTTCCCTGCAGAATCATATAGAATTATATAACACAGGGACGTCTTGACTAGTAATTTATACCAAATTGTTATAATGTTAATATAAATGCTAATTTATCTTAGAATTCCCATAATGCTTTATCAAATCTTTGATATGAAATAATACAATGGACACATAAAAGTTACAAGAATATTATTCGGAAATAAAAGTTCATTGTAATAAAATACTATCTGGCTATTTTCAAAGTCATTTCGATATGATTCCATTATAAATGACTCAAAACATGCACTATAAAGAATCTCTATAGAAGGGAGAATGCGTGAATAATTGTGTTAGAATATATAGTATTTAAAGAGTAAAGCTTAATGTTTTTAATCTTGTATGCGAAGGAATGCTACTTTTCCCATTTCAAATCTACTTGCCACCATTTTGTAGATAGATTCTACAATGTCTCGGAGTTCATCTTTAGTAATAAACCCATCGCTGTCTAAATCATACAACCGGAATGCCCCTAAAATAGCAATATAATAGTTCTATAATAGCAAACAAATAAAGCTCAGTTCAGACCAAGCATTTTACATGTAATTATATATTATTGATAGTATAAGTGAACAAAGAATTTTTTTTCATCTGTGATGATGTACTTATAGGTGATCAACGAAAAAATAAAACAACACATACTGAAATCATCAGAAATACTTTCATGAGTTTTATAATATATAGTTACATTGAAGTTTTTCCTCTACGTTTCCCCTTGAAGTCACAGACAAAGCTTGGAGAAATTCATGGAATTCAATATAACCATCCTGGAAAAACCAAACATGTATGTTTCAATTTTCATCAACATTACAGGTTTCTACAACTCGAAGTTAATTCATATTTTCTTATAAACCTTTTAAAATCACATTTCAAATAAAAAATTTACAATATCTAAATACATATAATTATATGATCAGAATTCATCAACCATTTTGACAAAAGCTGACTGATTTTCTGAAATGTATTATATTTTACATTAACTTCATTTTTAGTTATTTTTATATTCAATATACTTGCATGGTTTTTGTCAAAGACGTTGAACACAAATGTTGCAAATCTACTTGGGTCACCAAATGGAAAGAACTGTTTGTATATTTTAGTAAAGCCCTGAAATTAAAAGTTGTAAATAAAAAAATGGATACGACAATGCATTAAACATATAAAAACCAATTTTAATATGACATTAGAATAATTTTTGACATAGGAATAATGATAAAAATAAACAAAAAATAACATTAAAGTACCAATAAGTGAAATTGTTTTTTTTTTGTCTGTTTATGTTGTCTGAAAGATCAGAGGAATAATTCACAATGTGTTTGTAAACGTGCATGTAATGGATATTAATTTGACATTGAAAGTCCTCACCTCTAGCGTAAGTTTACCGTCTGGACAGTCTTTCATAAAACCTTTATACCTAATAATTGATAGAAAATACTTATAACAATCCAATATATTTGCTCAATATTTACTAGTATATACACATATCTTTATCAAATATTTTTGTGCATGTCACATCACTACTCGATATCATTATGTATAATAATAATATTTATTTATGATAAAAGTTGATTAAAATCAAATAAAGAAACATATTGTTGAGTAACAATTGCATAGCTTTCCATTAATATGCAACATTTTCAATTTTGTCGTCTTGAGCGTTCTTTATAGATTCTGTCTTACCTACTTTACAACGAAGTATGCATTCTAGCAAAACCTATAAACAAACAGCTTAATCATACAACATGGGCCTTGTGCTCTTATCATTTCTATTTTTATGTTTTTAGATTCAAATCAATCGATAATTGCAATAAGACTGTCTTACCATTGGTGTATTTCTTCTTCCGTAACTGTAAAAACAAAATAAAGTTTTGAATAAATGAAACACAAAATAGGAAAATTAATGATGTTACAAAGTACATCTTTGTAATGGAAAATTAAATACATCAAATGTAATACATAGATGATTTAATTTAGCGAATCAAAAGGAGACAACATTGTATTCCCACTTAAAAAGATTTTTCATTTTTGCAACGTTTAACTAAAGGCAGTAAAATCAACATTACTTTGGTATATTAAATATTTAACAGTATACACATTAGAATGATTATCGTGACCTTTATTATTATTATTTATCAAAACCAGATTATTCCTATAAGTAATTTTCCGCACATCAGGTAATGAAAATCAAATAATTAAGCATTTTTTTTATATTACAGGGGGTTCTCCAGTTCAGACAAAATTAATTTTCCTCATTTCTTGTAATCAAAACCAGGATCGGCACATACATCTTTGTTTTACTAAAACAAATGTGTAGGAGGCAATTAACATAAAAACTTTTGAATAGCAATTCCAAGTAAAGAAATCGACGTCAGTAATTTCACAAGCTCTAAGTCAATGTGTCTTTTTATCTTCGAAATGTAAAGATAATTTTAATAGCCAACTTTAATTAATGAATGTTCAGGTTATCTATCGATTAACATTTGACATTTCCTTTGAAAGCAGGAAATTAATCATATGGTGTTAAGACGAATCCTGCAAGAAACTTTACGATAACAATGATTTCTATTATTGATTTCATCTAAAAATTGGTTCAAATTTGAACAACATCAATAGATAAGCACTAAAATGATGTCTAAAATTGATGAGATAAATCAAAGAACCTTAAAAAAAAGATACGAAAATACATGCATTTTGACATTTTGAAACACCCACATTTCTGTTTATATGGCTATCGTTATGGTAAGATCAATAAACATAACAATGACATAACAATAAAAGCGGTATTGTATCATTTGTAGCAGGTCACTTGCATCTTCAAAGAAAATAGAACTATTAGAACTGAATAGTTTGAAAGATAAGAGTATAAGATTTTAGGAAATTACATATATTAACAACTACAGTGACAATAAAATAAAAACAAACATCAGCATATTGGCATATCATGGAGAAATATAAGACATATCAAAAACTTGAAAATAATGGAGTCATCAAAAAAGTAAACAGTAGGAGAAAAAAGTAGAACAGACACGATAAAGGCTAACCTCGAACAAAGATCTAGATGCATTTGTAACAACAAAAATATTTTACATCATTTGGGATGTAAGGTTTTCTCATAATGCTACGAATGTGAACTATTTCGTTCACTCTTTTTTCCACAAACCTGTTAATGAGATTTTCTGCTGGGAGCTAGGAGGTGTAATACAAAAAACAAAATTTGTTCAATAATTAAGCTGCCTGTGTTTGCTGCATGTTAAACAGCGTTTACATTAGACGGACGTAATTTGAACCATATGTAAATACATACATATGTTCTGCGTTTGACAAAAATTTACCTTCATTTAGTATTTGAAGTTAAAAAATCGACGGAGGGTTTTCGTTTTTTAATTTGTTTAGAGCATAGAAATGGTTCGAATGTTATCTGTCTGTCTGTATATCTGTCTTTTTCTTTATTGTTCTTCATTTACATATTCTGTACCGTTGATTTAATACTATTGTGGAAATAAATCTTACATAATTATCTGTTTTCGCACATTAAATAACTGTTCATAAATTATTTTAATGGAAACTCCAAAAGTAAACCATACATTTTACTTATCAAGGTATTTCGATGGCTTGAAAAATCAGCTGATTAGAAATGCCCCAAAGCGCTGAGATAACAAACGCTAGAGTGCGTGATATACTTAGAACTGTTTCGTAAAAGATAATGCACTAACGTTTAAAACCAATTATTTGCTTTTATTTAAAAAAGTATGTACTGTTAATGTCTGATTCCCAGACAAAAGTCGTTGATCAATTACAAGTAAATCCCCGAAAGATTGTTCACTTATCACCATTTCTCTGGAAACTGTAATTTCACCATGTCTATAAATCTTTTCTTTATTAGCAGCCGATAACATTACTCATGTTACAGCCAGTTCGGAAAAGGAGAAATGAAATACCCCATAATTGCTTTTGGCTCTTGAGCTGAACCTCTCGAGTGAATATATTTATTTAGAGGAATCTATTTCATCTATAACTATTCTCAATTTACTAAGACAGCTTGTAATCTCAAATCTTAAACAATGCAAGTTACTTGATGCTATTTTTTGTCGTTGTCATTAACGTTGCCAAAATTGTTTAAGATTGAAATGCTTGATATATAAAACAAGATATTTGTGCTAATTGTTCCATTCTTTTGAAAGTAGTGTTGCATGACTATTAAATATATGTTATCGTTCTATGCTCTTAATGTTCAGATATACGTGTCTACGAACCAATGACATACATCATTTTTCATTCTTCAAAAAATGTATTCTTATACAAAATTATTCATATATTTTTAGGATGTTTTTCTTCAATATTGTAAGCGTGCCATACTTTTGTACACTTTAATTATTTGTTTTATTACGTTATGCATCAATTTGCCTACAAATAATGATAAGATTTGGCGTCAAGTCTGTTATTATTTTGATGAAACTTTAAATTAAAGCAATAAATATTGAACACAAAACTATCCTGAAGTTGATCTGAAACTTAGTTTTTCACATTCGTTTCTATTTGTACTTACGGGTACTTATTATTTGTATTTATACCTTTCACTGGCAAAATTCACGTTATTACACAGACAAGAATAGTAATAGAAAGACAGGTTGATAGACATATAGTAGATCAATGATAATTTATAAAGAATATGACGTCTGAAGAAGAAAATCTTTTTATTATAGTGACTTGCAATTAATGTAATTATATACAATTCATAGAAATTTAAATAAAACACAAAACAAATATTTGTCTGACCCCATAGACACAAATGTCACTGTTTATAGAAAACGTCATGTAAATTAATGTAGTAGAATCTAACATAATGAACTAGCATATGAATGGTTTTCAAAGATTAAAATATTACATCTGCCTAAACATGTTATCAAAATGCGCAGCATGTGGTATTCATCTTTCTTGAAAATATTGGATTTTAAGTACGAAATACATGTTTATACACTCATGTGTTCATATAAACGACATCACGTCAAATTGGCGCAAAATAATAGAAGGGAGTGTTTTGTCCTTCTAGAATCATCAATCGTCTTTTAAAAGGAGGTTTTGAACCTTCTGTGTGAAGGGATACCGAATGCTTAGTGCTCAACCGTTTTTCAATTGGACAGTTCGCTTTCCTCTTTTTATAACATCTGAAAAACTAAATGGAATTTAGAATGTGGACTGAATTGTCCTAACGTTTGTTTACTTTCTTGCTCTATCGGCACTTTAATGTGATTTCCTTGCTGTCCTGTGTTCCTTAGGGACATTTAGTACTTTCGATAAGGTCATTAGGTCTTTTCTGTTTTAATATTTAGTCATCTTAGAGTTTTACGTAAAAATTAATCTGTTGTTACTGTAAGATTTTTATGAAATTTGAGATGTGGATCGTGCTTTTTTAATAAGTAGCCCGTAGCATGACAAATTCATTTAATTAGTTTTTAAACAACGAGCATACTGAATATCCAATAAGAATTATGAGATTAAGTTCACTATAAATAGAAGTTTTAGATAAAAAAATCAGATATCTGTGAAAGAAATGAGTCAGCTCTTAAAACAGATCTAGACGTCTAGCTAATTGCATTCTTTCAGCCCAGTTTTCAAAAATGGCTGCATACAAAAGATGAAATTATAGATGGCACCGAGACAGAAATAGATAACTTTCCTATTGCAAGGTTAGCAGGGTGAGACCATATTCATTCTGAGTATCATGTTCGTGTCAGTTACAATTTATCACGGCGTGTCATGCTTACGCACCGGGAAAAAGTAACAAAGTGCAGACAAAGTGCAAGGAAAATTACAGTGTGTGTGTTATTTTGAATATGGGTGCGAATTGTTTAATTTTTTGGTGTTGTATGACTATCAAATATATGTTATCATTCTATGCTCCTAATGTTCAGATAGACTTGGCTACGAACCAATGGCTTACATCATTCTTCAAACACTGTATTCTTATACAAAATTATACGCTTACGAGTATATTTTTAAAACTTTTCTTTCTCAAAATTGTACTTTTGTTCACTTAAATAATAGTCTATAAAATTTAAAAAAATAATTGTTATGCATTACTTTGCTGCCAAATGATGTTATGATTTGACTTCAAGTCCGTTACTGTCCTGAGTTGGACAGTTCTCTTCCCTCTTTGTATTACATCTGTCTCCTAAAGGGCATTGAGTACTTTCGATATGGTCATAAAGTATTTTCGTTTTAAATATTAAGTAATATTAGAGTTTTATTTAAACCTTTACCACATATATACGCGAAATAACGCACTTTCGACCCCCCCCTCTTTTAGGCCTCAAATAGTGAAAAAAATGTTCTGTTTGGCTCATGTTTTCGTTTGAGAAATGTTGATAAAAAATGATCACTTTTTCGGCGGCACCCCCATCAAAAAGGTACGTCAGGGGGTTGCCAGAAGGGGGATGTGCCCCCTTCTGTTTGGAGGGTTTGAAGGAGGAGGGCAGTCCCCCTCATCGCTAAGAACATTTTGGACTTGTGAGAGGCTAAAAATGGCCCCAGGTCGATCATAAGGTAACGTGTAACCAACGCTGAAAAGCCTTTGATTCTATCTGAATCCATTGAGAAGTTGTAGTAATGCAGTTGCAATCAATTTTTATGGAAAAAATCAACGCAAAATAGTGATTTTTTGGCAATTTTGAGAAGTCCCCTCGTTGCCATGGTAACAAAAAAAATTAAGACTAAACATGTTACAAAGGCAATGGTCCAGTCAACATTTGTGCCAAGTTTGATTAGTATTGAAGCGGTTTTATAGTTTTATAGCTGAAACTGTAACGGGAGACATTTCAATCAAAACAGCCATTTTTCATAAAAATGCTCATGCAGTAATGGATTAATATTTTATGATTGTTACTGTTACATTTTTTATGAATTTTGAGATGTGGACGTGTTTTTAAAAGTAGCTCCTAGCATGACAAATGCATTTAGTTAGTTTTTAAACAACGAGCGTACTACATATCCAATAAAAAATATGAAATTAAGTTTACTTTAAATAGAAGTTTTAGATAAGAATTCACATGTCTGTAAATGAGTCAGCTCTAAAATAAATCTAGACTAGCTAATTGCATTCTTTCAGCGCAGTTTCCAAAAATGACTGCATACAAAAGATGAAATTATAGATTGCACCGAGACAGAAATAGATAACTTTCCAATTGCAAGGTTAGCAGGGTGAGACAATATTATTCTGAGTATCATGTTCGTGTCAGCTACAATTTATCATAGCGTGTCATGCTTACACGCCGTGATACAGTAACAAAGTGCACGCAAAGTACAAGGAAAATTACATTGTGTGCGTATGTTTTGAATATTGATGTCAAATTTTTCAACAGTTCTCTGGTTTTTAGTAAAAATTGTTTTTTCTTTGCAATTTTTTTTTACATTTGGCAAAATAACAAAAAAAAAAAAAACATTATAAAATGAATAAAAATAAAATGAAAAATAAGCAAGCTACAACATTCAAATCTTAAATGAATGATTAGCTTGATTGTTCTACAAGATTGAAACACGTAAGTCACATGGTTTGAACAAACACAAAACCACGAGTGTATATAGATTTTAAAACATTTAAGACAAAAGCTGCTGCTTACAGTATGTTGAATTCTTTAGGTCTTCTATGTCGTCTGCTTTTAGCTTACTGTTCCTCTTTCCCATCGTCTTTCCTGCAAAATAACATATCGATATAATAGATTAGAAAAGTAAATGCAAAATGGGGGGGGGAGCTAACTTAAATACCTGGCAATACTAGTTTAACATGTCTGTTGTCATATGCATTCTTGTAGTATTTTCAAATGCTACATTTAAGTGGTGAAACCTTACACAGATTTGGAAAAGGAGTCAATCAAAACCGAAAAATAGACTCGGTTGATTGAGTTTGTTCAATATAATCAAAGCCGCAACATCATTTACGCCAAAAGCAAACGATGTATTTAATATTCAACGCTAAAAGCATTGTAATAGATGATCAACAAGAACTAAAAATATAACAACATTGAAATGAAGGACGAGGCAACATTTAAGAGCTTTCCAATCGCCTTAATTGACACATAGGTCATTTTATCTCAGTTCTGAAACATAACATTTGTAGATACATGCTGTTTTAATTATACTGTCCTATATTAATATTTAGATATAGGAACATTGTAACTCTAATACGTTTTGAAATTCTAAGTTTTTTGCAAAAAAGTAAGTCTTTTCATACCCGTAATTGTCTTACGTTAATTATCTTTTGTTCTTATTCAAAACATTAATTAAGAAATAAATTGAAAACACTTAATATGAAGTATATGAAAAAAATAGTAAATAAATCAACACATATTTCGATATTAGCAATTAATTTTAATTGAACACACTAATATGTTCTTAAAGGATACTTAAAAAGCCTTAATTGCGGAATTGTTTTATTCATAACTAATACAGTTTGACAAAAAGTACATTTTTGCATGATGTTTGTTTGAAGATGTTTGTTATAGCGCAGATTACTTATACAATTTTCTTTTATCATTAAACAATCATGCAGTATAATGAGTTTTTTTTCAAGATTGTAGGAAGCTTATAAATTACTTTATTATGAAGCATAAATATTTCACGTTGGTTTTGAGCCATAGCACATGCAACCATAATATCAGAACGTCATGTCCTGGATAGCTACGAGTATTGTCCATGAACAGAATAAACCATATTAAATCATTACATTTTTACAAACACTGTAATTATGTTTATCGACTCAGGCATGAGTTTTTTTAAGTTGCCAAATGCCATCAGCTGTATTATTTGTGTCATGTTACCTGAAATGTCGTCTACCTCTTCATTTTGTTATATGAAAATTGTTTTCAGTGTATGGATAGTTATATTTTAAATAATAAATGAGATCATACTTAGCCTGTGAATCGTATCCTTTCTCGAAAAGGTCTTTTGTTTGAAGTTTAAGGTTCATAATGCTCTTAACAAAACGTTATTTCATGTTGGTTTTTACAAAACATTAAAAACTGCTACTGCACAGTGAAGTACAAAAAACAACTGCTTAAATTCAGGAATTTCTAGGTTAACTGCCGATGTTATACTTGAGAATACATTGACAAAAGACTTGCATAAACGTAAATACACAAATAGAATAAAATATACCCTAACAAAATATCATGCTGTTTTTAATATAGGTTTTAATGATATTTTGCACTTAGAAACGGTACAAAAATGTTTTTTCATAATTTTATGGTCAGTTGTCAAAATAATGATTGTCAAAATAATGATCATATAGAATGTCTCTATTATTGAACACACAAAAATAAATGTTCTGAAACAAAATAGCATGCTCCTTTTTTAAAAAGGGTTTAATTTAACGTTTACTAATGTTTTTGTGCTTTTGGAAGTGATTCGTGGATTTTGGAAATGACAGCTGAAGCAAATATAAGGCGAATCAGATGACAATCGTAAATGAAAATTTGTTGTCGTTAATAATATTAAACTTTAAATATATTTAGAAGTTCTTTGTTCTGTTTGGTAAATTTGCTAAGGCAGCTTTTTGTAATGCATGTAATGAACTGATCAAATATTTCATTTCAGCTGTCAAGACTTGCATTGTCGTATATAAGTAATTATTTTATAGATTGTAATAGACATATTGCACCATTAAATTAACTTAATGCTAGATTACTTCAGTGGCAATAACGTTATATTAAACTGCATATCAAAAGGGAAAAATCAAAGAAGAACTAAAGCAAACTTTAATTTTTAAATACCAAGTGAGGAATGTTTTCTTCAGGAAATTAAAAAGTATACAATTTTAGAGTAGAAAAGTGTATTAGACGCATTTAAAATTTCCGAAGTTTTGAAAGAAAAATATAATTATCTGGAAATTGTGTAGAAATAGATGGGACGAGTCATTTAACAGAAAATCAAAATAACTTCAAAAAGTGAGGAAATATTCATGAAATACAGCTTTCGTTATTGTCAACACCAATGAAGAGGCATCAAGTTAGGCAAAAGACGAGGACAATGATGGTAGAACATAAAAAGAGACACTGAAATCATAATTGTCATTGACAAACATTGAGGACACGTAAGTACATGTACTAAAACGACAGAATTGAATAAAAAAGCATGAAAGAATGTAGTTTTCTTTTGATTTCAAACGAATGTGTTTAATTTTTTAATAAACTTGATTACAAAATCAGCTAGTGAGTATAAATTGCTAACAAAAATTTGCTGCCAGTTTTATGAAATTACAAAAATAAATCTTAAATTGATATGAAAGAAAGTTCTAAATTTCTATATAAAACTGCATAAAAAGTTCTATATAAAACAACAACAAAGTTTGGTATATGGCAATTGTAACAAATACGTTTTTTGACGAACTCTATATTTATATTTAACTAAATGTATAAAAATAATCAAATGCGACGAGTATCAACGGATTCACCTAACTAGAAAATGAGTTAAATGCACTTTTGAATGTGTTCGTAGCTATAATTAGTCACTGCATTAATTTTCAAGAGAAGATGTTTACACTGAATTATTATTCATTTTTCAGAAAAAACTTTTCTCAGTTTTACAGCATATTAACAAACAACTCATATACGGCAAGTTTACTTACCATTGTTTAAAAATAAAGTATGAACAAAAATCAAATACCTATTCGTAACAAGTACGGGGTAATTTCATGTGAATGATATGCTCTATTCATGATGGATGAAGCAGGTAAGAACAATATTAATGGTCTTCCAGTATTTATAGTAGGTCTGAACTATTTCAAGATGATAAATGTGAAGATGATTGCTATTAACTGACAAAATGAGGTTGAAACAATGCAACGTGTATGTTAAAATAATCAAAGTGTGAATATAAAAAATATCTTGTATTTACAATACTGTTTCTTCCATACAATACACTATTTACACTTAACTAAATGATTATTTAAATGTTTGCACTAAAAGTGTTGATACCAAATGCAAAGTTCAAAAGCTGCTGAAATGGCTAACAAAGAATGTATCATTAAATTTTAAAGAATTTTGAAGATACCCTTCCTAAACCAAAATAACAAGTTGTTAACTTGTAACCCTCCTATCCTCTAATTACATGATTCAAAAAAATAACAAGTTTAACACCCGCCAAACATACACACAAAATAAATAACCAACTTTGGTAACTATACAATAAGTGTTGTCTTTAATGATTGAGGCAGAAGTATTGCAACCATAGTTTGTCCCTGTGTGATCATAAGAGGCGACTTAACGAGTAAGATTTACTGGAGTCTATGCATCTCTTAGCTCTAGCAGGTGAAGAGGTTTGACTCCTGTTTCGGTGCTTTATTACCTATAATGTATCGGTGCACCTTAAAATAAAACAAATAAACAAAACCATTCCAAGATAATTCCAATGAATTTGAACCTGCAAGAAATCACATTAGTCTATATGATTGCCTTTGTAGGTACAAAACATGATTTTATATTTCAATTTAACTTCGGGACATTCACTATCTTGAAAAAGCAAGTATACATTCAAAGGATTCACAGATGCAAGAGATGATTTTTTCATTAATGCATGATAGATGTAATATATTTATGAACTTTTTATTAAAAGTGTTTTACTTCCTCCTGCTAGCTTTCCATCCTTAAACTTATTGCAGAGAGCTAACTTCAGCTTTAATATTTGTCGAAAAAACAATTCTGTGTCGTTTCAAACCTAGTTTTCCCGTAAATTCATCTTTATTATATCAGTGCTAAGTCTTCTTTAACACAGTGTCAGTCCCGAGAGCTATTAAAACACGTCATTCACTCGTATTAAAAATGGATCGAGAACCGAATCGTTCACTTTACATGTACAGCATGATCAGTATTCTCTTTCTACTAGATTGTAGCTGCTAAAACATAATATACAACGGAGCTTTTCTTCCATCTTAGCATAATATATAACTGCTGTACAATCAACCATAGAATGCGGTTTACCATACTACAGTTCCCTTAATAAATACAAGGGCTATAGCAATCAATGTCTTTGATCTTCAAGAACAATCATCACTATCATAAATAAAAGTGCATTGTTTACTTAATGTCATTCTCTGGGTTTTTTTTAGATAAAACACTTCTATAAAGTAAGATTGCTACAAATATTTTCAAGGACAAAATGCCTTCACCAATTGGATAAAATAATATGCATTACACGTCTGCAAACCTCTGAAATAACGTGTGGTTTCCGGGAAAAGATATAATGTAGATATTCCAAAGTCCAACTATAAGCGCATTTTTTAACAGGAGGTAATTAATGTGCTTTAACATCAGCGCTGAATAAATGTTCTTCTGTTAAAAATTTTGCAAGAATTTGGTTCATTTTCGACTCATTTGCATATCTATTAAATATTCATAGTCAATGTGACCTTTTTTGATCTATTTGTTAAATCATTTAACCTTCATTCTTTATTCTACTGTCGGTGCATTATCCATAGTTGCAGCTGAATCTTCTGTCCTATAAAGATCGTTTAGCCAGGAAAAGCTCGTTATCTTTCGAAAAAAATGTTTAATGTTTTCATAAATATTTAATAAGGTGAGTAGTGTAAATCTTATTACTTCTCGTAACAGCATCTCTATCCCAATATTGAGGTGCCACGTTTCTTGGCAATTCCTTATTGAAAAGTGTAATTAATATTCTAGTGAAAAAAAATATTGAA